TAGGCTGGACAGAGCTAAAGAATAAAGCAGGGATTTATTAAAAGGATTTCCACAATGGATCCGCACTAATCACACTAAAGCAGCACAGAATCTGAAAAGTATAAAAGCTATAACTTGAGGCATCAGAAGCATTGCCTCACTCTGTAAGACCTGCAGTGCCCCCTTCCCTTCACCGTGGTGGACAAAAATGTGCTGAAAACCCTGTCACGTTCACATTTGGAATTCCAGAGCTTCCTTGGGACAACACCTGTGCCTGCCAGTGTCTTTCTTCCAGACCAAAGAGACAAATGACTCCTCCGAGCATTTGCCTGCCTTCTCCACAGGGAGTGTGTCCCTCCTGTAGCCCCTGCACTTACCAGCCCCTGCCTGCCTTCACAAACACCCAGGTCCCACATTTATCTTTCCCTCCTTGGTGGGACTGGGGCCCGTGGATTCCCCATGTGCTCCGGATTAAGGTGAGCACCTTACCTCTACGGGTATTATCTCTCTTATAGTCCTGCAAAAAAAAATCTCCACAGTGTCTTGGTGTACCAGATCTCTCATTTCAGTTACAAAATACTGTTCAGAAGTCATAGCTCAGGAGTTCTGGCCTAATTTCTCTTACAAATTGCTTGTACGGATTTCTCTCGCTAGAAAATTAATTGACCATACAATAAACTATTTTCCCTTGAGCAGGGACTATTCTGTTTCCTATGACGTTACAGTAAGCTGTCTTTGGGCCAAATATTTAAAGGTATTTAGGTGCTTAAAGATGCAGGTAATGTGAATTTTCCAAAATACCTAGCTGCCTAATACACAGTGATTTCAGTGGGAGTTGCCATCAAAGAGCTTCTAAAAATCCCACTGTGCACCCATCTGCTCCTTTAAGCACCTGAATTCCTTTAAAAAACAGGTCCTTCCCTCCATCAGTGGAGACCAACTTTATTTTTCCTAATGTAGGTGGATCTTCTTAATACATTTTCTCAGATATTGCCTGCCACCTTTAGCTTATTTTCATTGTTTTGATTGTGATGTCAAATCTAGTTGATGATCATGTTTATGCAGTTCCAAGCAGAGTGTGGGCACACAGCATCTATCCTTTATGACACCAACTTGGCACAGCAGCTCGTGTTAATAAATCAGGGCTAAGAGGTTTGTAGGCAGGCAAACTGTCAGGAAGTTACTGCAACTTTTGCAGTGGATTAAATGATCTGTGTTTTGCTCTAACTTTTTAAACCCTCTTTGAGGACCGGTGTTCTGTTTCTCATTAGTGGGTCTTTGATCCAGTGAAAATATCAGTCCCTTGAGTTAATATTTCATCTGACTGTAGGGCCATGTAATTTGCTGCGACACGAAGTCAATAGGTCTCTGCTGGCTTACCCCAGCAGGACTTGTATGTGGAGGCAAAAAATTCTCTTCAAAACAAGAATAATGTGGGGCTAATCAAGAATTTATTCCTCTGGTTAACCAAAGGAAAAAAGCGGAGTGTGAACATCCGTCCATCTAGGCACAAAAGGGGCTTGAGGGAAAGAAAACATTTCACTTTGTATCAATTCACATTCTCAATTTAATACATAAACAGGAGTGTCAGGATGTGTACATCTTGCAGAGCTGCAGAAATAGCAGTGGATTGATCTATCATTATTTACTGGCTGGGCCATCCTGTTTATGTGCTTTCTGTTATAATGTACTTGGAAACCTCAGAGGGTCCTTCTGCATTAACCTCCACCTTCTGTCCTCATCTCTCCCTCTGGCCACCCCGTGCTACATTCTGAAATTTTCATTTCCTTGCACAAGGTGCTATGGAATGAAAATAAGCATTTGTCTGTGGAGAGTTTGCTGAGTCTGGAATATTCAGTGTGGCTTAAGCCAATTTAAAAACAAGTGACTAAAATTGTGCTTTTACTTTTTAAGGCTTTTCCAGCAATATTTCATTCTGTGGTCTCCAAAGGAGTGAAGCATTTATGAATATGCATTAATCCTCACTGGGAATTGATCCAGAGCTTGTTTTAAGCATATGCTTAAGTGGTTTGTTGAACTGGGGCCATGGCTGCCCAGACCCATCTCTGGATGAGATTTAATTGAGCAATGAGAACATTTGAATTCATTTACTTGTACTTGTGGGATTTGAAATGGATCAATTTATTTTTAAATAGTTATTGATGAGATTTACAAGGATTTGTGCACATCTGATATTCGGATTCACTGTGAGAGAAAAGGTCTAATCCTTGCTATGACTCGGCAAAAAAAAAAAAATCTCTTTAGTGCGATATGTGCCTGATACTGTGTCTAAAGAACAAGCAAATATTTTGTCATATTTTCACTGGGCTGAAAATAGATCTTTGTCGTGTGGGTTTTGCTTCTTTCTTGGTTTTGGCTTGAGATTTTAATTTTTTTTTTTTTTACTGTGTGGCTTCCATTTCTGTCCTAGCTCTGTGAGGAGGAAGAGCCCTGTTGCAGGGAGCCTCGTGCTCTGGTTGATGTGTCACTGACCCACTGCAGCTCATTCATGAGTTTTCAGCTGTGACAGGCTGAATGCCCAGAGTGGTCACTGATTAGACTGCCACTCCTAATATTCTCATCCCTGCCGTTATCAAGCAGGAAAACAGTGACAAGCAAGTCTAAGCAGCGTGGGAAATGCAGAGTCTGAGAAAACAGGGACTTGGGTGTGGCATTCACATTCTCTGGAAAAATTCCTTTGCCCAGGATTTTTCTCCTGGGAAGCTGAGAAGCCTCAGAGAAAAAGGAAAACAATTATTATCTCATGTGCTTCTCCTGTGTTTTGCTCACATGTGGAATGTGTTTGGAGATTGTTTCATTGGATTCTGCTGGGAGTTGTTTTCACTCTTTGGCCAATTGGGGCTAAGCTGTGTCAGACTCTGGAGAGAGTCACGAGTTTCATTATTATCTTTTTGCCTTCTGTAAGTATCCTTTCTGTATTCTTTAGTATAACTTAGTATTCTTTAATATAATAGAATATAATAAAATAATAAATTAGCCTTCTGAGAACACGGAATCAGATTCATCATTCCTTCCTTTGTCTGGGAACCCCACTAATACAATACTTGGGCATCTTCTGGGATTTCCTGAGCCCTCAGTGACATTGGGTGTGGTAGCACAACAGTCAGGAGCAGAAAGAAACCCAGAACTTGGCAAATAGCAGGCAAATCTCACATTGTATTTGTGACTTTTATATTGCTGTGTGATGCCTTAGTGGTAGGAGAAGAATTTGAGAGTCCTGGGTGATTCCTCTGAGCTTGGTTGTTTTGTGTTCAGTTGTGGTGCTAAAGAAATCTGACCCTGAAATTTCAGAACCACCTCCTGAACTCCAAAATCTCTGTTCCTCAAGACAAAATTCTCAAAAAATTCAGTGAGAGTTTTCCTCAGACTTGGAGATATCAGACTTTAGTGGTCTTGTTTTTGTTTTTTTTTTAATCAAGAGGATGGTTTAAAGCTTATTCATCACCATAAATGGGGATTTCAGGCCTCATGAAGACATGCTATTTTGCCAGGTTTTATAGTAGAGGAACACTCTACTGTTTTAGAGCATTTTCTGACTGGCATGTGGTAAAATGAGATCTTTTTCATTTCATTTGGGAAAAATTCTTTTTGCACCTGTTTTCCTTTCCCATTATTTGTGCAGATTTGGATCCCACTCCTGCCATTGTCCTGACTTCTTGATGAGTTTCCAAGGAACATTTTTAGTGTCTTGGGCTCCCTCAATTCCCTGGGCCAGTACCAAAGGCTGAGATGCATGCAGTTGGTCATGACATTCACCTGGGATTTGCTGAGGCCAAAATTAAATCAGAGAGAGCTCCAGGTTGAATCTGGGTCTCCTGTGTCCCTGTGTCTCAGGTGAATGCAGTAATATGTTTATTCTATATAGCTTTTTTTTCTTCACCAAAAGTTAGAGTTCCAAAAAATGTTTCTCTGACCTTCTCCTTACCAAAAAAAAAAAAAAAAAAAAATAAAACCACAACAATAGGAGAGGCAGGATTCCGTGAATCAGTATTTTCCAGAGAATTTTTTATTTGTCAGAATACTCCTGATTGATTATACGGCCAGGAAAAAAAAAAAAAGAAAAAAAAACCCACAACAATAGGAGAGGCAGGATTCCATGAATCAGTATTTTCCAGAGAATTTTTTATTTGTCAGAATACTCCTGATTGATTATAGCTCTTTTCTTAAGAGCATCTTTGCTTAGGCTTGTGTCTAAAAATACGAATTCTCCTTAGAATATGGGAAGTGCCAGCTACTTTAACAAACAAGGAACATGCTCTGAAGTTACACACATCTAAACAAGGTGACCCAATAAATGTTTTATGGAGCAGAATTAGGAAAATAACCACAGGAGTAATCCAGATGGATAAATGTAAGTCCCCTGGCTATGGTGAGCACTTCCCTGTGCTCTTTGCTTCTTTTTCCCCTCCTCAGTGCAGCTTTTTTAAGCTCTCTGGCATAGGAAGTTTCAGAGCTATGCTGTGCTGTGTTGATGGCAGACAGAGAGAAATTGTCTGTGTTTTGACCCACACAGGGCAATGAGCTCCCTCCCCATTCCTTTGAAAGCAGCAATACCTTAAACTCCACAGAGAGTTGGTCCAATCTGTGAATATCTTTTATATTTTTGTGGAAGTTGAGGACCAGTGTCCAGGCATCTACACTTGATTCCATACACAGATGAACATCTGGATGTGTGGCTCTTGCAGATGTGCACATGAACCCCATCCACAGCACCAGCTGGAACCCAGGCTAGGGTGTAAGGAAAAAACAAAATAAAAATGTAATAATTGGTCTAAGACATTCTGATATGAGTTAAACCTTAACAACAACTTTCCCCTTTTACAACGAGAGATATTCCCTGTGTTTGGGGCAGGATGTTAAAACATCAGAAAATTCTGTGTTTAGCATTTGAACTAACCCCATGGCCCTCATTACAAAATCAGTGCGCAAAACCCTCACAGCTTTATGCCCAGGCTGTGTGATGTGCTCCATAGCCCATCCTGCCCCATTTCTCCCTACAGCTCTCAGCCCTGCCCCTGCAGAAGGGAAGGAAGGTGAGGCCAGTGACCAGGGTGGAAATCCTCAGCTTGAAGAGTAAAAAAATGAAATAAGACAGGTAATTGATAAAGTGTAGCAGGTCACGTGTAGTGCTTGTAATAACCATTTCAAAATTACTCAGCTGTGTGGAGAGACATGGGCATAAAATAAGTGTGGCTTTTGTTCATTTTGTGACCATATATCAAATGTTGTGGTGTCCTTAGAATAGAGGGTGCACAGTAAAGGTTTGGGGGCGATGTTAGTGCAAGAATCAAATTAAAAGTGGGGAAAATAATGGTGCAGAATGTGATGGTGGTTTGCCTTCTTCTTCCAGCTGTTGCACTGGGAAGGGAGGGAGTCCCCATCTGCACATGCCTCTTGCCTGGAATATCGGGGACTTTGGGCCCAGGTGGCTGAATCCTCCCTCCAAAGCTCTGCTCTGCACCAGGAACATTTCAGGATACTCCTGCAAGCATGAGTGCATCCATAATTCTGTTTTCAGAGACAAATCATTTCAAGTAGAGTGCATAGAGCTCATGACACAAACACATCTGGATTTCAGTTGTTGATGTGAAATATTCACAGTCCAATATGGTAGGAACAGATGTTGGATTGACACTCCTTGTAAATGTGAATGATCACATCACAAATCCCATATGTAGTTTAGTTGAGAGCAGCAAAGCCTACCTGCCCACCTTGGTTTTGCTCTGGGGTTAAAAATATTTCCTTGCACCCTTCATGCTAGTCACCACTCTATTTTTAGTTGTAGGAGAGTGTAATAAACCTCAAAAAGGTTTAGGTGTAAACTGTGGTAGGAATTGAACTGACTGCCGTAATCAAAAGTACTTGGTTTGAAATGAAACATAAAAAAACCTCTTTAAGTTGTTTAATATTATCATATTTTGTGCTTGGTAAGCACTGCTGCAGAGGTCAGTGGTATCAAACTTAATAGGTTGATCATTAAAAGACATCAAGTGTCTGTGCCTTCTGCTGATGTATGTAGAGGCTGAAGAATTTCTGGTGCCTTTGAGGAAAAGTAGCTGAGGAAGGAAAAGTGCAGCTAAACAGGTCAGTCTAGGCTCCATAGAAAGGTCACCTGATTTTCCAGAAGCTTTTCACTTCCACAGCATTTTGAATGTGAGTTCTATTGGTGTGAATACTGCTATATATGGCCTTCTTTTGGTATTTACTTGTGAGTGTATCCACCAGCTGGAGGATCTTGAAAAATTGTTTTGGATTCTTAAAATTGACCATTTTCCAGAGCAAAAAGCTCCCAGACACAGCAGCTGGGGCCAGAACTTCTGCAGAAGAAAAGCCCAAGTCATGTCCCCTTTCCCCCCTCTCAAAGCCCTGTTGGTTCTCTGAACATTCAGACCATGTTCTGTTCTTGGTGCAAGTCATGATTCTCCAGCACAATGAGGGCTCCAAACCAGGGCAAGGGCAGTGTGGGATTTCAGTGTGTGACCAAGGATGAGTGAAAGGTGTCTGAAAAGAGATTAAACAGCCGAAGAAAGAATTAGGCACAAGCTGAAGGTAGAACCTTCATGCCAGGGTGTGGGAGAAAGAATCCCTCTTGAATCTCTAGGATTCTAAGACAGGGTTAAACCAATGAAAATTGTGTTAGTCAGTGTTTTAAATAAAGAAAAGAGAAGTCAAGGCAAAAGATGAGAGAGTTTTGAGGAAAAGCTGGAGTGCAGGGTAGGAAAATTCTGAGTGCATTAGGAAAAATGCACTGGGGAACACAGGCAGCAGGGAATCGTGTATGTTTTTATGTTACAAAGAGCACATCCTAAACTGAGCCATCTCAGAGTTTAAAATTATTCAGGGTAACTTCCTTTCCTAAGAGAGGATTTCATTTCTGAATAGGCAAACATTTAAAATTGTAAAGAAGAGAAAGCAAGTACTTTCCTTGGAAGGATGGATGAAACATAAATCTTAAGCAGAACTATAAACTGTTGAGACAAGGCATTTTTGTTGGATTATGTAGCTCATATCAGATCGCAATAAATCAATCCTTCAAAGACAAAAGACTATAGAAAGAGGAATAAACCAAAGACTCTCCAAATAACAAAGGCCAGATACACAAAAGTAACTAAGGAGCTGAAGAGGCAAATAGATGCCTGGCAGGATTTTAAATGGGATCATTCAGCACAGACAATCATCACCTGCTAGTGGTTATTGGTGTCTTTAGGCTCCTTCAGGCCTAGACACTTCCTTGACTGAGGTTAAAATTCCCATCAGCATCAGGGAAATTTAACTCATAGCCTTAAAATCCTCATGGCTGGTGCATCATCCCTCAGGTAAATGAAAAATTTACCTCATGGATGGGTTTGCCTTACTGTGAGCTTTGACAGTGCACGTGTCTTAGTACAGTTCTGTCTTTAATCACTTGGGTTGTGCCACTGAGGTGGGATGTTCTGCACAGATTTATTTACCTTGCTTCCTGATCCAGGACTTCATAGAATAACAGATTTTTGAGCAAAACTCAAAATGTTATTGGCTATGATGACAAAATTCTAGGAGTGGGTGTAAGTCACTAATGTTAGTTAATGCTCGCTGTCTCTCACACTTTGGAAATTAATTTTCTGTGCTGTAAATTCCTATATTTTGGCCAAAAAGGGGCCCCATTCCAGAGCTGGAAATAGCAAAATCCATGTTACACTCTATTCCTGTGCTTTGTACTCCCAGTCCCTTCTTGTTCACATCAACCAGACTTTTTACAGCATGTTCTGGCATGTTTCTAACCTGCACACACTTTGGCCTTGTCCCTGGGAATATCAAAGAATAAAAGGAGATTAAGACTTGGGACACACAGGCAGAACAGTCAGAGAAGCTGGGAAGTATTTTATTTCCAGGTCCCCTGGCTGGAAGTACTGGGGACAGTCCTTTCAGCTGAGCTCTGCTATGCTGGTAGCTACATTTTCATCCAGGATCAAATTTGGCTGGTTTGTTTGTTGATATTAAATAAAAGGATGACTCAAGTCTTAAACTGTTGGGGGAGTGTGCAGGAAAGGGATTCCTGTCCTTCTTAAAACAGAAGAAGTAAATGTAATGCAGACAATGAGAGGGGGGGAAAAAAGAAGAAAACTTGCTATACATCTATTTTTAAAAAACAGGCAAACAAATATTGAGGGCACAAGATCTTAGCATGACAGAAAATTACTAGAACATGCCAGACATGGGGAATAAAAGGCAAGCAGGCAATGTTGCTGCTGGAACAGGAAGAGATGTGAAAAATGTAGGAAAATTTGCCAGTCTTTATTTGCCACTAGTCTGACAACAGATGATGATGACATATCTGTGAACATATGTTATGAGAAAAGGGCTACTATCACAAGCTATGCAGTGATTGGGTCATTGAATATTTTTAGCTCCAGTTCTGGTTCTGGTTGGCCTCTATATCATCTTGAGTTAGTTCAGTCTCCCCATGGAATACTGTTCTACAGAATATTTTCAGTACATTTCTTGAGAAAGGAGCCCTGGCATTTGAATATGATGTGATTATGATTGTGATTCAAGCCTATATAATTTTAAGTTTGCTCCATCAAAGATTAATATTCTGTTTCTTGGACTTTGCACACTTACAGTTCAGCTGGAAAAAATATCAGAGTGCATGTCTTACAAGTGAAATGGTACTTTTGTGTTCTCCTCTCCCCTTTGGCTCCAGAAAAGTGCTTTCTTTTTCCATTCCACATCCTATGACATGCAGTACTTAAAACAGGGCAGTGTGGAAACACCATGAGAATAAGTCTTCCTGCCTTAGTTCAAAATACACTCACCTGTTTAAAACAGAAAAATATGCTTTTCCAAAAGCTTGTCTATCTATACATTGATCCTGCCCAAGGGCATTTTTGGGTATGTGCTTTCACTACTTACCTGGCTTTTACACATAATTGCTTGCTTTGGTGTTGCCTAAAACGTGAAATTTTTTGCTAATTAGGCAAAGACTGGACAGTGCAGCAGGAGATTGTCCACCTGCTATTCCTGATAATTTTTTCTTAAAGGAAACACCTCACAAATGTTTTCCACGCATCTCCCCCAGCATGGTGATGTATTTTTGGTCTCACTGCTTACTCTTTGCTCCTACTGCTGTTACAATCTCCTTTTCCCAATTCTTTTTTAATTAGACCCCCTCAGTAGAGGAAGGGGTAAAAAAAAGAAGGTAGTGTTTGCAAATGGCAGATCAGTCCGTGGAGACTGCTCAGATTTTAAGGGCAGCTGCTGTTCCATGTATCTGGTGTGTCACTTTCTGTTTTGTGCCACTGTTTTATTGCTGCTGTGGGAATGGAGCAAAAATAGAGGCTACTGCAGTTGTGTTGAATAACCATCAACGTGATCCTAGCCGATGTGTCAGTCCCTCACTGGGCACAAAAATGTCCGTATTGGATATCCACCACCCACCCTGGCCTGTAAATGAAAGCAGCAACACGCTAAATAGCTACAGAGCAGCATCATTAGCTGGAGGACTCAGCTGATGCACACGGATGTGTTAGTGCTGCTATGCGTGTGTGGGTGTGAGAATGTCCCTGCATCTCCAGAAAGGCTGGTGTAAGTAAATAATTCATAAGGTGCATGCAGTGTATTTAAATGTTAAATACATTGCCTTTCAAACTCAGTGCAACAATTGAAACCTGCGTTTGGCTACCACCATTCGGCTGCTGCATATTTCAAGTGAAATCACAAATTTAAAGTGAAAACCGCGGTGTGGAAATGCTGAGTAAAAACCACCCAAGCCCTAGTTTTTGATGGACCACCTAAGCTTGCCAGCCTAGCCCTTTGTGGAGCTCAGATTCTCTTCCTCCCGGGCAGGAGTGCTGTGTGTTTCCATTCGAGTGCAAAGTCTTGACATCAGGAGTGCTGACTCACGGGACCGCGAGGAAGGAACATTTCTGTGGCTGCTGGGGTGGCCAAAAGTGGCATGGGCTTGTCCTGCTGTGACTCCCCCTGCCCTGTGCCCCACGTCCTGTCCCCACACAGCTGCACCTGCTGCTGGAGAGGAGCACAGGGCTGCTAAACACACCTCACAGCCGCTGGCTGCCGCAGTCCGGGGCTGAATCCACATGGATTGCTTCACCTCTCCTTCCTGTTGGTCACCAAAAGTTTATCCCACATCGAGCCAGGCCAGCTTGGTCTGGGGGATTGCCCCAGACAGCTGACAGGCTAGGGGGTTGAGTTAGCCAGGTAAATTCCCTGGGCTCCCATCAGGAATGTGGGCAGCTGGAGTCCAGAAGGCAATCCCTGAATTGGGAGGTGAATTCCTGAATGGGCTAGTGCAGGAGCCTGACCTTAGGTAATGTAATAAATGAGATCTCTCAGCATCATGTCTCTTACAGTAAACAAGGGCGAGTTCTGCCTGTAAGATAATCACGTTCTTTGAACTTTCCAGTTATTTACATACAATACACTTTTCTTTGTCCTTTTTGACTGCAACTTACTAGAATCAGGTGAAGTACCGATCCAGAAGAGCAGCTATTGAAACTGCTTGTCCTCTTTCAGAAGCAGCCAAAAGCGGTACCTAAACGTGTGGTGGCTTGCGACTTCTCTGAGGAGGAGGTGGGAAAATCCCAGTTTTGAGGCGATGGAAGGCCGGCCGGGCTTTTGTTCTCCCCGGGGCGCAGCAGCGCGGTCCCTGAACCGGCCGCGTTTCCCCGACAGATGGCACTGCCTTTCTCTCGTACTTCGCCCAAAGTTTAAAAACATTTCGTTAAAAATAGCTGCCCCACATTCTTAATTGGCAATCCTTTTTCTGTTTATTGTTAGGCACAAATCAAACGCTGTTTTAGCTCTTAGGCGAGCTCAATGCACAATACATAAAACCATAATGTGAAACACGCAGATTTTCTTATTCTGTTCCTGCTTGTTACAGCAGAAAATACTGAACAATTTGTGGTTTGTCACTAACTTAGTTATGACAAAATGTTATTTTTTCCTTTATGAAGATAGAACCATTTTGTTTAGTCTTAAAACTCGCTGTGTTTCCTGCACGATGCCGTGTTTTCACATAAATGAAGCCAATGTTATTCCAGCTTCTCTGGACTTCGCTGACAGTAATGGAGTGCCTGTGGCATTTGAAAATGCCCTGAAACAGCCTTCAGACTCTCCTGTGCTGGTCTTTCTCACGTGAGGGTTTGGGGACCCCCACAGTGGGGTCCTTGGGGTAGTGAGGGCTTGCAGAGTCCCTGGGCCAAGCCCTCTCCACAGGAGCTGGGAGCACTGCAGGAAAATATGGACCCAGCGCATCCCTTCTCCTTCTCCAACCCTCCCCTGGGGTGGGTCCCTGGGGGGATTCTCAGGGTGATTCTCCTGATTCCCAGGGTGATTCTCCACACCTCCTTGCCAGGGTTTCCTGATGCAGGGAGCATCACTGGAGGTGAGCCTCCCTCTGCTCTCTCCTCATTTCTGTGGCCTCTTCTGGGCCCCGTTTCATTTCTGCAACTCCTTGGGCTATGCTGAGCAGCGAGGCCAAATCTCTCCTTTACCAAATGAAACCCTAGTGGCCTGGCTACCTCCTGGTTTGGTCTGCACCTCGTCTTTCTTTCCGCGGCCGGGCTGCTTACGGTGAAGCAGAAAGAACGCGTTTTGTTTTGCTTTATTCCCTTGCCTGCTCTTGCCCATGGACAGATTGTCGGCCAGCTGCCCAGGGTTTCGGCGCCTTCCACCTCCCCCCACGACGGCCACGGATCCAGTGGAGGTCCTGATCCACACAAGAGCTCTGTTTCCTACCGGGGCTCTCCCCCCAAACACGTTTTGTGTGCGCTCCAAGGCGGTGGCACTGCTGGCCTTTTAGCACAGATGCATGGGAGAAATTCCTTCTAATATGCATTCACATCTCTCTCTCTCTCTCCAGTGACCTTTATTTGCCATCTCCTTGCCTATTTAGTTAGTTTATTCGACCCTTCTGAAGTGCTTCATAATATTCCCATAATATTGGACCAGTCTCAATAATTGTATCAAATTCCAGTGTTACTGGCTGAATTTTTAAGCCCCTTCTCCTGTTTGCTAACATATTAAACAGTGCTGCACCTAACACAGTTCTTTGAGTCACCTCATTGTCAAAGCAGTTGAAAGCCTTTTCTTCTCTTCTTCTTCTTCTTTGCTGATTTTTACTTCCCAAGTTGGTTTTGTTCCCTTTGTCACTTTTTGTGATGAAGGCTATCAGCTGTTTTTAGAAAGAGCAGTAGAATAATCAGATGTGCTTGTACTTGAGGCAGTTTACATTCTGAGCCTTTTTTTTCTTTTTAAAAACTCTGCACC